GTTCTGTGGAGTTTGTTTGGGTTGTCCACGGTTGCTTGTTGGGAAGAGCTTGGTGTAGAGCGATCAGCAGTGGGAAGATTACTGTGCGCATGGTTTTCTTGTTGAGTGTGGCGAGGATGGCGCGGTCGAGAAGCTTGAGAAGGAGCTCATGGAGATGATGAGCCACGTTCACACGTTTGCCGTCGAGTAGAGCTCCGTAGACTTCTGCTGTGCGCTTGCCGATGGTGCGATCTGTTGGGCGAAGTTCGTAGTAGGGGAGGAGGGCTTTCAGGCGATCCATATGCTGCTCCTCAATGCCCTCCCATGTGAGCTCACCGGTAATTTCTCGATTGGCCTTGATGATTTGCTGTGGAACTTCTCCTGAAAATTTGAGTAGTCCCTTGTTGGAGATTTTGAAAACAGAGGCGATTCTTGCTGGGCTGAGGGTGATCTTGTTGGTGCCGTTGGTTATGGTGCTGTTCTTGGGTTGAAGGAGGCAGCCAGTTTCCTCACTAATTTTTGATCAGGGTGTGTTGAAAAGGCCTTGTGGAGGAGCTCGAATCCGTGGTCCTTGAGCCAGGTGGTTGTGTCGTTGCTGGGAAGCCTAGGAATATGGTGTATGACGTATCTGAGGCATCGGGGTGGATGAGCTGGCATCTTTCTCTTCATTTTCTGCGATCGAAGTGCTCACCCCGTTAGGGTTCTTGAAACCTGTAACTGTTGGTTGGCTGATCATGCGGCGCTCGATTGCTGGTGATGAACGGTCGAGATTTGTTGACGGAATTGATGTGTGGCTTGATTGCAAATCAATGGTGGATATTGGTGATGAAGTTAACTCAAGTTCAACTGTTGATATTTGCTCAGGTGGCGTTGATCCAACGGTAGCTTGGGACTTACAGATTTTTGCTGCTGTTTGTTGCTGAAGTTGGTGGATGAGTTCTTGTTGAGTTGAGTTGAGTTGTGTCGAACTGATTTAAGTTAAAGTTTGTCTATTGGGGTGAGTGTTGATTGTTGGTTTTGGGGTGTTTGTCGGTTTGGGTCTGAAATTTGTTGAGGTGCTGATGCTGAATATGTTGACGTGATATGGTCGAAGCTTGTTGAGGTTGACGATCTCAGTGAAGTCTTCAGCAAGTGTGCTGACTTTGGCGGTGCCGTTGGGGTATAGTTCAATGATTTTTAAAGGTCCTTGCCAGTTGGTGTGGAGTTTTTGGCCAAGTTTGCCGATGGGTCCTCGGTACCAGAGAACATGGTCGTCGACGCTGTATTTGGGAATGTTATGCCGGGATGCTTGTCGGTCGTGCCGAGCTTTTCTCTGTTTTTGGATGGCATGAAGTGTCCAGAGGGCGTTGAGTCGGAGTTCGTCGAGATGTTCGAGTTGCTGAAGCCTTTCTCGAACTGCATGTCGGGTGTCGAGATTATACTTGACGGTGACTCGCATGCTTGGGACGATGAATTCAATTGGTGTGATGGCTTCTGTTCCAAAGACGAGTTTGAATGGCGTCATGTCAGTGGTGACTTTATACGCAGTGCGATAGGCCCAAAGTACGTCGAGAAGTTTGTCGTCCCAGTCTTTGCCGGAATCGTTGATGACTTTTTTGAGGATGGTCTTCAGTGTTTTGTTCATTGCTTCTGCTTGACCGTTGCCTTGAGGATAGTATGGTGTCGACGTTTTGTGTCGGATTTTGAACTCGGTGGTGAGATGTTCGATTGTTTGGTTGATGAAGTGGGTGCCTCTGTCGGTGACGAGTTCAAGTGGTGTGCCGAAACGAGTGATGATATTTTCGTAGATGAAGGTTGCTGTTGCTTTCACTGTGGCATGTCGGAGAGGTATTGCTTCGGCCCACTTGGTAGTGTAATCGGTGGCGACAATGATGTACTGATTTCGTCGACAGGTGCTGACTTGGGGTCCAATGAAGTCAAGTCCCCATTTCTGAAATGGTGCCATTGGGAATGTTGGGTTGAGTTGTTGAGTCTGAGTTTTCGGCGGTAGTTGGTGTCTTTGACATGTGTCGCAGCGTTTGCAGAATTCTTCAGTGTCATGCCAGAGTGTCGGCCACCAGAGGCCGGCTTGAAGAATCTTCCGAGTTGTGGTGTCAGCGGCGAAGTGTCCGCTGGAAGGTCCATCATGAGCTTCCTTGATGATTTGAGTTGTGGTTGGCGGCTTGATGCATCGGCGAAGAATGTTGTCAATTCCTAGTTTGTAGAGAGTGCCTCCGATGACTGAGTATCGTCGGGTTTTAGCAACAAAAGTCTTCTTTTGGTCGGACGTAGTGTACTGATCTGGAACTTTTGCTGAGTTCAGGTAACTGAAGACGTCGTCGAGCCAGGTTGCTGGTATTGAAACTCGGAATAGGTTTGAGTCGGGTAAGTCATCGGTAAGTCTTTCGGGTTTATCGCCGGTGGTGATCCGGCTGAGATAATCTGCTTGCTCGTGATTTTTGCCGGGTTTGTGGACGATCTCAAAGTTGTATTCTTGTAGTAAAAGGAACCATCTTGATATTCGACCAGATAATATCGGCTTGTTGATGAGGTAAAGGAGTGCCTTGTGGTCGACAAAAATTACACTTTGGTTGACAGTATGTAGTGTCGAAACTTCTGAAGTGAGTAGATCATGCCGAGAGCTTCTTTCTCGGTAGTGGTGTAATTTCGTTCAGCTGGGTTGAGTAGTCGGCTGGCGTAGTAGATCGGTTGATCTCGGTTGTCGTGTTGAGTTTGGCTCAGAATTGCACCAGTGGCAACGTCGGAAGTGTCGACATGAATGTGGAACTCTTGTGTCCAGTCGGGCTTGGCAAGGATCGGTGCTGTTGTTAGTTTGAGTCGGAGATTGTCGAATGCTTGTTGCTGTTTGGACGTCCATGTCCATTGGGCATCTTGTTTTAGTCCATCGGTGAGTGGTTTGGCAATGTGAGCGTACTTGTGGATGAATCGTCGGTGATATCCGACTTTGCCGAGGAAGCGCCGAAGTTCTTTCTGGTTCTTCGGCGGTTCAAGTTTGGAGATGACGTCAACTTTGTCCTTGTCGATGAGAATGCCATCTTTGCAGACAACGTGGCCGAGGAGTACTCCAGATTTGACGAAGAAAGCGCATTTGTCGGGGTTGAGTGCTATGTTGTTCTCCTCGCACTTGTTGAGGCATTTCTCCAGGCATTCAAGATGTTGATCTTCCGAGCTGAAAACGCTAAAGTCGTCCATGAAGACTCTCATGAAGTCAGTGAGGTAGTCTCGGAAAGTGTTGGTAACAAGCCTTTGGAAGGTGAATGGGGTGTTGCAGAGTCCAAAAGGCATTCGTCGATAAGCATAGGCTCCCCATGGACTGATGAATGCTGTCTTGTGCTAATCTTCTTCGGCGATGTGAATTTGGTTGTAGCCGGAGAAACCATCGAGGAAGGAATACATCTCGTGTCCGGTGACTGCGTCAAGAACTTCGTCAGTAAATGGTATCGGGAAGACATCTTTTTCGGTGGCGTTGTTGAGCTGTTTATAGTTGACACAGATTCGAAGTTTGCCATTTTTCTTCGGTACAACCACCAGTGGTGAAAGCCATATCGGATTCTGAATTGGGTAGATGTACTCGACTTGGAGAAGCTTGTCGAGTTCTTTCTTTGCTTGTTCCATCAGATTCGGATTCATCCGGTAGGCTGCTTGTCTTCTTGGTTTTGAGTCTGGAAGAAGGGTGATGGTGTGAAGGCTGAGTTTTGGCGAAACTCCCTTAAGGTCTCGATAACTCCAAGTGAACAAGTGTTTCTTCTTTCGGAGAAGATTGATGCCTTTGTCTCGAAAACTTGCCGAGATGTCAGTGGCAAGTACAATGTAGTGTTCGTTGCCGTCGTCGGCAAGGCTGACTTTTTCGAGTTTTTGGTCTGCTGGAATTGACGGAATGTAGGCAACTTTGTTGTGGTTGTCGACTGTGAATGCCAGTGGCGCTTCGAGTTTTGTATCTCGAGTGACTGGATTTTTCAGTGCTGATGTAATCGGGGGTCGTTCTCGTTGGAAGTCGGCGACAATTCGGAAGAGGTCGATCTCGGCCAAAGGTTCGAGATTGGGGTAGGCTTTGAGAATTTGTTGTTCTTGATAGTCGTCGAGGCCATCTTCGAGATTATATTCTTCCAAGTCAATAGGTCGGTTGTGGCTGGACAGCGATTTAGTCGCTTTTGTCGACACAGTTGTTGGTCCGTCTGGTCCGTGAAGGATAAGATTCTCATTGGGCCAATCTTGATAAACTTGGGCAGTTCGGAGCCAAGGTCGACCGAGGAGAATTGAGTATCCGTCGGTCTGCTCCGGTAGTTTGAGGACGACATAGTTGACTGGTATTTCGACACCTTGAATGGTGGTGTTGACTTTTCGGATGATGCCTTTGGGTTGAACAGATTGGTGGTCGGCCATTCGGACATTGAAAGGTGCTGGGTGAACTGGGCCAATGTTGAGTTGTTGAACAAGACTTTCTTCAATAATATTAACGCTGAGCCGCCATCAATTATGGCTCCTCGAACAAGATGTTTGTCGAGTCGTAGGTCGATTGTCGGAACATCATTGTCACAATCGCCTGGTTGAATCTTGGTTCGAAATGTGTCAATAGCTGTCTGTGTCGAGTTGAGTGTGGGTGAGTCTATCAAAGTGTGTGTCGGTGCAGATGTCAGATCGGTGAGCTGTTTGGTGAGGTAGGGTGCAATCTTCAGCAGTTGGCCGATGGTGATCTGAATATTTTGGTTGAGGATAGTCTCTGCGACTGCTTGGATTTTGTTGAAGTTTGCCGAATTGTGTTCTGGTGTCGGTGTCGATGTTGGACGATTTGTCTGTCCGTTTTTTGGTATTGAGTCTTGGCATTGTTGTCGAGCTGGTGATGGTTGAGCTTCATTGTCGGAGTCTAAAATCACTAATTCGGGTGGTTGTAGAGCGAGTTGCTGCTGTATCTTGGCAGCTAACTTCTGCTTCTTTTTCCATTCCCGGAGTTTTGTCGGGCTCTTAGGGCCTTTTTCTTCACTATCTCCGGAATCTCTGTCCGGTTGTTGTTGTTTTTCTGCTCAAATTTGTGCTCGGGTTTGTACTGCCATGACTTGAGGATCTGAGTCGTCATTGTCAGCATAAGGTAGTTCGTCGGTCTCGACCATCCTTGTTGTTGGTGGTTGCTGCTGGTTCTGATCTTGTTGTCGAGGAGGCGGTGGACCAAGTCTCGGTGGACCGCCTTGGTTTTGAAGTCGAGGTTGCCATGGTCGGTTGTTGTAGTTGCCTTGGTAGGCCTGGCCTTGATAACCTTGGCCTTGGTATCTTGGGTTCTGGTATCTTGGGTATTGTTGGTATCCTTGGTTGTTGTTGTCTCGGTTTGCTGGGTAGTTCTGGTTTGGCGGGTGTTGTCGATTGTTGTAGTAGTTGTTGTAGTCGTTGTAATTGTTGTAGTTGTTATAGCGAGGTTGATCATTCCATTGTCGACTCTGGTGTTGGAAGTTGTTTCTCGGTGGTCTCCAGTTTGTCAGAGGTGGTGGCTGGTAATTGTCGAAGTATTGATTTGGATATGGTTGTCGAAACTGCTGTCGGGGATAGTTCGAGACTTGTCGAACTTCTGGAGAATTTCGAAATCTGCAAGTCTTGGCGTCATGACCTTCTTTGGTACAGATCTGGCATTTGGAGATTTGGAGCTTGCAGTCACTTGCCGGATGTCCTTCGTTCTTGCACTTAGTACACAAAATTCCAGATCGAAATTCTTTGATGTCGGCCTTGGCTTTTCCCTTGAGCTTGTCAATTGTTTTCCTAAGTTTCCGAAGTTTTGACTTGGTGCTCTCTCCGAGTTCATCATTGGAGTCGTCGTTGGAACTGCTATCAGAATCTGAGTTATCCGTGTCATCTACTTGTGCTGTCATTCGTTGAGCTTGAACATCTTGAAGGGCTCTTGCGAGTTCGAGATAAGTGGCAACGTTGATGTGTGTTGCCGCTTCTCGGAGGGATCGTCGGAGGCCTTGCATGTACCATTGGTAAAGTAATGTTTCGGTGGCACTGTTGCCGCATTTGCTGGCATGTCGAGTGAAGGTTTGAGTGTAGTCGTCGATGGATTGTCCAGACTTCTGTTTGAGTTTTTGGATCTTGTGAAGTCGTTGGCTTTGAGTGAGGGAAGACTTGAATCAGTCTACGAGCTTGAGTGCGAGGTCGTCGAAACTTGTATTTTGAGGAAGTGTTTGAGCCCATTCATTGGCTCTTTTTCGAAGGGTACATCGAAAGTAGTATGGAAGTTCAGTCGTCTGGCCATTGATTCAGATTGCTTCTCGGAACTGTTCAACATGTTTCTCAGTGTCTTCTGACTTCAGACCATGAAATAGTGGATAGGAGATGTGTCTTCCGACAGGTATGTTGGTGACGGCAGTAGTGACTGCCATTTGTTGTTGGTAGTAATGTCGGTATTGTCGAGATTGTTTTGTCAGGTTGTCACCGTGGAGTGCTAAGGTGATTTGTAGCAAGGGGTTGTCGGGGTCGATGGCAAAGTTGGTGTAAGAGGAAGGTGGTGAATTGTTGTTGGTTTTTAGTGGACTCTTCGCTGTTTGTTCTTCTGTGTTGGGACTGTTGTTGGGTGTGTCGTCGACGTCGTCGTGGGTGTTGGGTTGCTTGCCGGTGTTGATTTTGGGAAGATGGTGCTTGAACTTGTTGTCGACGTACTTGTCGGAGTTATGTTGTGTTGGTTGTGGTTGTTCTTCTAAATTGTCAAAGAGTTCTTCGAACGTATAGTTGTGTGGTGACTGTAGTTGCTGTGGAAGATTCTTGTTGTCGACAACTGGTTCGTCGATCTCGTTGTTGTTGTATGATTGTAGCTGTTCGGCAGTTCGGTGTGAGTTGTTGACGTCGAGTGCTTGACTATTGGAGGATTCGGGTTGTTTGTCTTGACTGCTGTTGACTGGGTATATCGGAGTGCGACTGTAATTAGTGAAGTCGAGTTGTTGTCTCGTCGGCACATTGAAGTCGAAAGCGTGTTCGAAAGGTCTTGCTGATAGCGGGCTTCGGTAGATGTTGGAAGCAAATGTGGGATATATTGGTGTTGTGAAGATTGGTCGGTATGGCAAAAATGGTGCTGGTCTGGTGAAGTCTGTGAACCTGGGCGGGAAACTTGGTCGTTCGTTGTCACTGTAGATGGGGTTGGTGAATGTACCTTTGAAGTGGTTGTATGCTGCTTGAAAAATGTTTTGTTGCTCGGGCGTAGTCTGTGTCAACTGCTTGAATGTTCGGTTGGGCTCGGGCACTTTGGTGGGTGCCGTCGAGGGTGCTGATTCAGGCTCAGGCACTTCGGTGGGTGCTGTCGAGGGTGTTGCCGGTGGTGTGTCCGGTGGTGTTGTGTAGTTGTCGTATTCTTCGCGGATGTCCGATACTGATTCGTCGGAGTTAGCTCGCGGTAATAATTCGTGTCGGATGTAATTCTCTCTCTTGGAGGGTCTAACAATTTGATTCAACTTCTCTTGGTCTTTCTTTCTCTTTGTTTCTAAATTCTTCAAATCTCTATCTAAACGTCGGATAAGCCGTTGTCGGTCTTCTTCCAACTTGCTGGATGTTCTTCGTGGTTTTGGATACATGCATTCTTGTACTGGTTGTCGGTGTCAGATTTGTGTCTGCAGTCAATCATGCAGTTCGGGCAGAACTTTGGGAAGACTGTCGGTGGGCCAATTGTTGATAAAGTTGTTGTGAGCTTGTTCTTTCTTTTCAGTGCAAATATCGACGGTGGTGTGTGTTGGGTTGGGTTGTGTTCAGCCGAGTTGTGTTGGGTCGAGTGTGCTGGTGCAGTATGCAAACTGGTCTTCCACGTGCTGGTGCCGAGATGGAGTTCAATGAAGAGTTTTGGATATTCGGGTTTGTCTGGAATGATTTCTTCGATAATGTCGTCGAGTTGTTCGAGTCCGGATTGGGCGATGGCGTGATTGGCGAGAGTTGTTGCAGCGAACGTGTTGATTTCGAACCGAGTTCGGACTGTTGTTTCAGTGCTGAGCTGCTGACTTTGTCGGAGGGGTTGTCGAAAAATCGGTGGTGCGTTGTGAAG